GCGTCAGCTTGGTAACTTCTAACTTTTTTTTTTTAAAACTACAAACAAAGTATTTTTCAGACCAAATAATAGACTAATTTCCGAAACTTATAGGAAGACGGATATTTTTGCCAATGAGTAAAAATAAATCTAATAGTGGAAATCCGTAATTTATGAAACTATATCTACATCCACATAAATTTTCTTTCACCATTTGAAATATCGTCACAAATGTCGGATTAGTATATAGTGGTTTGTGCTAATAATGTCGTTAACATAATGCATGTTGTTAAAGAAAAATGCTACGTATATGTGCCCTTATTCACATATACAAAGACATGTAAATTGTATATTGCAAGTTGTTTGCTATATCTAGAGCTAGACAAATTATCCGTTAAATTCGATCAAATTCGGTATTCGTTTTGATATGATCCAAAAAATTCGGATATCCGTTTTGAATCAAAACAAAGCAAATAATAGAATTTAATATCCGTCTAAACCGAAATAAATCACAAATAATAATTTTAAAAATTCGAATATCCGATCCGATCCGATCCGTATATTACTTATACATACATACAATATGGTAGATTTATAACGTACATTTACATTTTTTTACTTTTAAATATATTTGGTGAATCTATTTATAGTAAAATAGATAGATATTAACTTTATTTGATATATATATATATCTTAAATAAAAAATACATATTTCATTTTTTACTGTTTTAATCTTTCATTTTTAAAACAATTTATCGAATAAAATTAGACTTATTTCATATATTTATTGATTAATTAGTTTAAATCTTATATTAAAACTTTTTTTTGAAAGAATATTATGGTGTTTTTTTTTGGTCTAAAACATATATTCGCGAAGATCCGGATATTCGCAAATATCAATAAAAATTTTGGATATCCGTCATCTCGGATATTTAAAAAATTTTTGAAGCAAAACAAATCAGAAAATTAGATATCCATCAAAAATAAATTAAATTATAAATATTATATTTTTTCGGATATTCGATCCGTATCTAGGCGTGGCGGCTTACAGATAATAGAAATTACAGTTCAAAAAAGAAGAACACGTTTTGGTTTGATTTTTCCATGAAATCTGGCGTACGTGGTGGACAAGATATTCGAAATATTTGTATATATAGCTTCGTATATACGCTAATACGCTAATATATAGCTTGATACAAAAAAAAAAAAATATACGCTAATACGCAACATCATCGTCAATCTTACGACTTCTTGTTGTTGTTTATTGTGTGAATCCCATGACGTTAACAATGTTTCTTTTTTAATCAAATTAATGCTAATAAGGACAAAAGACACAAAAAAATGAATATGATTCTACGGGGTTCGCTAATCTCTCTGCCTATCTGGCAATAAAATTGGTTACTTATATTTCTTTTATTCAAAGTTTGGCTGGCACATGTGCAAATAAGTTTTATATAGAATCAATTTGAAAAATAGCAATAAAGAAGGAACAAATTAAGAAAATAGCAAGACTTATTTCGTTGTTACATAAAAGATAATATTTTACTACCGATTCTTCTGCTATTGTCCTCACGCGCTTAGCTCTGTTTTTCCTTCTGACACATGCATTAAATACGTTATTCTAGCTGTAAGGCATAACCGCATAACGTAATACTCACAAAACATTAATTACATCACACTAATGTTTCTTTCATTCTCTTTCTAGCATATTTATGTAATTTTTTTATTATTTGCATTCTGCACATACGCA